TCTAGTTTTTTATTCTTCATGAGTGTAAAATCCATCTCAGTTATTCATCATCAGATCTAAATCTGAATCATGTAAGAGTTTCATTCCAGACTTGCGCTGGAAAGCAGTTACACTGTACGAAGTTGAGTGATATGCATAGGGTTTAATTCTGTAGACGCAGTCTATTTGATTAAGTGAACAAAATACTGTGGAAGGTATGTTTAGCTAATTTACGAAAAATGATTGAGACCCTGAAACTATTAAATATGACTGAATTCTAATAAGGAATACTCTGAGCGATAATAATGTTCTAATTTATTGGGTTTCTATCTTTCACTTGCGGAAAACAATTAATTGTTAGACATTGTGGATCACTCATTCGTATATGTGTTTGTCAAGGATAACCAGAATAAATATAATGAATTCAGTTGAGAGCCAAGCGAGCCGTGCCGACGAACGTTACTTGTTGTTTTATTTGATTTTTCAAAGAGAAAAAAGAAATATATAATGAATAAGTTGTGGTTTTTAATAATAATACAATCGATCAGTTATTACGAAAATGCAGCCCCACCATTAACCATAATACTTTGTCCAGTAATATAATCTGAATCTTTACTAGCCAAAAATGACACCAAATTTGCAACATCTTTTGGTTGTTCCAACCAATCAAATGCAGGCATGTTTGTAACTTCATCGACTTTTTCTTCTTTCTCTTTTTGTTTTTCTCGATATTTTGTCATTATTTCATTAATCGACTGCATCATATCAGTTTCTGTTATACCTATAGAAAATGTTTTTCTTTAATTCAACGAAGAGAAAAGTAAACATTCAATTCACCAGGACAGTATGCGTTGACTTTAATATTGAATTTAGCCAAGTCCAATGCAGTAGCTTGTGTCAATCCACGTACTCCCCATTTACTAGCAATATAATAAGCAGCCATTGTATGTGATGAATATCCAGCAGTACTACAAGCACCAATTATTTTTCCTCCTTTTCCTTGTTCAATCATTATTTTTGCTGCTTCTCTATAGCAAAGAAATACACCACGCATATTTATAGCAAAAGTTTTATCCCAATCATCTGCAGATATTTCTATCATAGATTTTATTTGACAAATTCCTGCGTTTGCCACAACAACCCACAAGAATTTATTGTTGAAGTAATTAAATATTTAAAAAATTAATTACGTTAAGTTGCCAAGTTTTTCTCTGACATTGTTCATCATTGATTGAACTTGTTTATCTTGAGAAACATCAGCAATAATAGCAACAGACTTTCTTCCAATATTTTCGATCTCCTGTTTAACTTGATTAAGTTTGAAAGAATTCTTTTCAATATCATTGACAGCGACATTAAAACTATATTTCGCTAATCGAAAAGCAATTGCACGTCCAATATCTTGTGCAGCACCAGTAATCAATGCATTACTAGACATTTTCAACCAAAGTAAAACACGTGTTTGCTCTAATAGACCTTTTTCTTACTCAAAAATGATGTTGTTATGACGTGATACACGTGCTTATTTATATAAATGTGAAGCAATACGTTACTTAATACAGCGAAGAAAAGAAAAAAAGCAAATACGACACACCTATGCAGAATACTTCTTATCTATGATAATATTTTAAGGGAGTTCACCCATTTAAAGAGAAACATGGACGCCATTATATAGACACAAGAAATTTAGTAATATGGAAATTCAATTGGTTTTATAGATAACAATAGATTATTTTACACCAAACTAGCCATAAGAAGCTGTCGGCAGCAGAAAGAAAACCTTAAAAAAATATGTTCAAAAAGTTCATCGGCGCTTTGTTGTTAGAGCGTTTGTTTAGAAAACAATTTGAATTCTTTCATGAAATGAGTTTATTTGTCTTATCGATTAAGTCATTATTTTTATTGAAGTATTTAGTTTTAGCAGCCCGAGTTATCTCATGGGATAAGTCGAACTTGTGAATTTTATACTATAACGTTAAATTTTTTTTTTTTGGAAGTTGTGTGCTGAGAACATAATTAACAATAGTGGATAGTACTTTTTGAATATTCATTCTTTGTTTGTGGCTACCTTTTCGAGTTAAATCTGATAACTTGAGGATGAGTTTAGCACGCCAAGACCGGTTTCGATTCCGCTACGGATCTCATTAGTTGGCTATAACTCTGCTATTAGTTGTTCGAATTGATTCAATGAAAAGAAAAGAATAAAAACCTGATTGGTTTCGCGATACTAGAGATTGTTTTTAGTGTCTGTGTCTTGTTGTGTTCTGTCGCAACGTGTTTACTTTTTTAGGTTCCATAGATTGTCTTATGGCTGAGGAGAAAGAATCTTGGATTAATTTAGGTAAATTGTCGTATCATGTTTTGTGAAGTAATGAAGAGTAATTTTTATACTAATAAGATAGCGTTTAAAACGAAAACATCCAAAAACAAATGAGGAATAAAATGGAATGAAGATGACTCAATCTTCGATTAAGTAGTCGTATTCATTGTACATTGTTCAAATTTCATTCCTACTGGCTAGATTTTTAATGAACAATAGATAAGAATTTTGTGTGAGTCTAAAATTGATGCAATATAGTCAAGTGTGTGCTCGAAACGTAGAAGAAATCTGCAATTATAATAAGAAAAATAATAGAACAGAGATTGAAATTAAGTCTTGCCGATTTTTATCGCCTTTAGTTTTGACGATGAGAAAACAAGACTATATGTCTGCTATTATTGAATCGGATTCGTCAGTGTGTTCTTTTGTACTATAGTTGGTAGGATAAATGATGATATCCTGAGTATTATAGCTCACTTATTGTAATTGTTTGAACTAATGTCTATATGGGGGTAAATCATAAAGCAAGTGTTAGAAGAAACTATATCTAAAAATATTCCATGTCATCATCGACTTTTTCTAAAGCATTCAATTAAATGAGCACCATAGAAAGAAAAGTGTGGATGTGAGTGGATGGGTAATCTCTCTTACTCTACACCCACACCCTTTCAATGTTTTCCCACTATCAGTCGTTCTTAGATATATAAAAAGGCCGTTGTACTCGACTGTCTTCATTTTTCCGTCAACACTAATCATTGAAAAACACAATATGCAGACAGTAACAGCCGAAAGAGATGTGGAGGCCAATCGTCCACATGATTGTTCACTCGAAAAAAGTGACAAAGTGTTGATTCAATAAGTGCCTTTCTTTCAAGTCTTTTATTGGTGTTTCTAAACGTAAGAGAAAAAAATACAATCAACCAGATTTGATGATAAAAAAGTTCTGTGCATGAAATATCGAAGAATCATACACACTTTTGCTTTTGTTCGTAGCAAAAAAATTCTCATCTAATCCGATCGACTAATTATCCATATGCAATTCAGTATAATTGAGAGAACAAGTTCGGATGAATCCATTAGAAGATAAATAATATACCCTGTTTTTTCTGTTCGAAAAAGTTTCTCTGAATAATTCAATGCATTACATTACAAAAACATAATGAATAATCATTGAACATCAAATCAGGTTTTAGCATATCATGTCTATTGCCGTTGCCCTTCTTCATCAAATTTCACGTCATAGAAAAGAAGCTTCTTGACGGCACGAATCACAATGGTATGCTCACCAATCAAAGCGATGTTATGCAATGGTCCAGAAAAAGAGTCAATTTTGTCAATCACTACACCTTCTTCATCGAGAATAAAAACTAAATTGTTATCTACATTCAATAAAGCCCAATAACCATCAGGTAATGGAGTCATACGTGAGAATATACCCGAGTCCGTATCGAGGAAAATAGTATGTAGAGTATTAAGAGTAAGATCTCGAAGTTCGAAACGAAATTGTCGATTGAGTGGATTGTTTTCATCTTGAATACTCAAAGCAAGTTGATCTTTTGAATTTAATTGAATGCATGTGATGAATTCATTTGCACGACACGTTACAGGACTTGACCATCGCTGCTGAAAATTCCAAGAACTGATCTGAATTAAATCGATAGCACTCTCCTGACACCAATAGGAAATGAATAGATGATCATTTCTACAAGTACATCGACGGAAAGTATTGGATTGATAAGGTGTTATTGAGGAGATTTCTTGAAAAAGTCGAGTCACTGGATTGAACAGGATGAGTTCTTTATCGAGTAAAATGAAGAATTGTCGTAGATCATAATTCCATTGAATGTCACGAATCTATTCAGAGAATGAAAGTATTAACATTATCTTTAACCATACTTAGTACCGGTGAGCACATAAGATGACAAAGACAACTAAGTTTTCGATCGACTGTAATATTTTTCCGACAAACTTATCGAAAAAATACGAGAGTAATTTATCTAGTCTCATATTTGATGATCTATGTCAATCTATTTGTCAATCGATATTCACATTAGAATATGATGTTATATGTTATATGGACAAAGTCTTCTCATTATTAATTAGTCTATTGATTCCTTAGGGTGTAACTTATTCGAGTCATTGTAAGAATTAGCTTGTTTTGTATGTTAACGCTTTGGGCATACGAATTTTGAACCTTTTTATGACCAGTCAATTATTCTGTTCTCACTCGAAATAGAAATAGTCCGATGAAAAATCATCATTTTTGTGATTTTCACTTTTTTCTATTAACACCCTATAAAGAAATGATCAAGATTTCTTTGAGCTGGAATCGATCATAGATTACATTCTAATAATATCAATCAAATTAGTAATTGACGTAGTTTTTCGTTATTAGTAAAAAATGTTTACATCCGACTTTTTCCTCTGACAATAAACTAACGAATTCAAAACATAGATATCTACTAACTCATTCTGCAAATGCATACTAATACCCATTAACATCCCGTAACACTCATTAGTAATCCCTAATATGACGACTAAATGCGTTCCCACATTACATGATTAACATTTTTTCTTTGACTTTTGACTGTTGATCCAGTGGTAGGTATACACTCGACATTATACATAGAGACTTTTATGGTTGTTTTTTGTTCAAATAGTGTTTTATGATAAGTAGTGAAAGCTAGTAAGTGTTAGAGTTTTTTTACTAATATCCTAGAGTTTTTGTTAGTTATAGGTGCAATAATATAAAAACATAGCTGCCTTCAATGAAAGATGGCAGTGAATAACGTTTCACCATCACGAAAACTATTTTTTATTGTGCATCTCATATTTTTAGGAAGTTAAAGATAGCAAATGCTCTACGATCGTTTTTCATCATCACAGAAGGTAATCTATATTTTCGGACTTCATAAGAAATACAGAACATATAGTTACTTTGAAAATGGTTGTTATTATGCTATATAAAATACTTACCACCACATCATAGTGCCAAGTCATTGATATACCTCGTTTACCATGTCGATCAAATAATGTCAATTGCTTATTTTCATATTCTTGTGCCAGTAAATATTCATCTGAGGCACCTATTGCCCAATAATTGCCAACTGAACTTTCTGCTAGGGGTTCCTCAATGAGGCGTTTGCCTAATCGTGTCTTGGGCATGTTGGGATCGCAAATTGGTGACACTTCTTTCCATAGATTTGACGAAAAGCTTTCTTTTATTGGACTTATTGTTTCAATTTCCAATGTACGTTTTTGATTATAATGTGGAACAATATGTATACTTTCCAATGAATGAACATATTCATTTTGTAATTTTTCCAATCGAACTAATTGAGCATCTCGATGTGTTGATCTGCTATCTATTATAGTCGATGATTCATCCTCGAAATGAGATCGATAATTTTTGATGAGATTTTCTAATGTTTTTCTCGCGTCGTCGGCTGATTGACGAGTATCTTCAACTGCTTGGCGTTCCCAATTGTCGATACTCGAACGAAGTTTGTTTTCAATTTGTTCAAATTCGACCAAACATTTGGATAAAGGTTGTTGATGATTACGAGCATCATCCACATATTTTCCATAGGTTTCACGATGTTCACAAAAATGATTCCAGCAAAAATGTCGATTACAAGCGACACAGATGATCACGGATGGCATAGCACAAGGTAAATGGCAGGAGATGCTGCCGGCTCGCTTTCTCATCATCTATCAATAGTACGAAGGTGAATGTGAGACAAATCAACTACTATACTGTAAAAAAAATCCGGAGAATAATAAACCTTTAAAGGGTATATGAACAGGTTTATAACTTTCGAATACCACTCGTGAAAAGTTTATGGAAGGGTTTATAATATTCATAAATCCTTAAGAGGATACCCTTTTCGGAGTTTCTCGAGAATAGCTCATCAGAAAATTTTGAAACTTCCATGGTTGATAGTAGGAATGTCACTTTTACGTTCCGTTCCTAGGAGCGGAAACGCTGTGGCGTTCCCGTTCCCAGAAATGGAAAACGGGAAGGCGACATCTATTCCCTTTTACTTTAACGGAAACTTCCGAGTTCATCGACCAAACGGCAGCTTCCTAAAAATTACGAGTTTTACAAAGTTAGACCACAGGTAATTGGGGTCGAAGAATCCCAATTTGTAATCATGTTCCTCAAAATTTTGAGTATCATTTTTTTCATCCATCGAAGGGCTTCTTTCGAAAATAGCGATTTTTTATAAAGTTTGACCAAAGGTAACCAACGTCAAGGAATCCGAATTTGTAATCTGTTTCTCAAAATTGAGTTTCATTTTTTTCATCAGAGAAAGGGTTTCTTTCGAAAATAACTATTTTTTTTATAAAGTTTGACCAAAGGGAGTCAGGGTCGAGGAATCCGAATCTGTAATCGGTTTTTCGGAATTTCGAGTTCGTTTTTCAAGATAAAAGTCACTTCTTTCCAAAAGAAAAATATTTTAACAAAAACCTTTTTGTGTTAAAAATTTATCTTTTTAGAAAAAGTTATTTTTCGGCCTGTCCAAGCGTGACGGAATCATGTCTTGTCACTTTGCTTTTCCAATATCTCAATGAAATGAAGTCGGATAAGACTGGAATATTTACAGGTTATGTAAGTCTATTTTCCCTACACATACTGAAAGTTTCATCAGATTACAAGTTCCCGTACCTACTTTTTGGTTGAAATATAGGCTGTGATGAAATCACTAAAAATGGACTTGAATTTTGAGTGTTGTTCAAAGAATTAAAAAATTTAGCTCAACTATAGATATAATGAAAAAGGTCTCTCTAGAGAAGTTATAGCTCAGATGACGAGTTACACATACAAAAAAAGAAAATCTGAAAAATACGCAATACTAAGTTTGTAGAGAGAAAAATGAGTTATGACGGAATCACATTTGAGAAATGATGATGTTTTTCAACTTTGATTTTCTGCAGAAGTATAAAGATAGTTCCATAGAATAAACAATCTGATGTCATGCATGAAAAATCAGCGAAAAAAAATATTTTAGGTCATTTTCTATTAAACGAAAATTCTTTTCAAAAGTGTCAATGATATAGTAGACACATTGACATACAAGAGGTATTGTACGCCAGCGACAACGAATTCCAGCAAAGCTTTGCTCGATCGATCTCACCAATCTGGCTGATATTTCCACAGTAAGTGAGCCTAGTGAAGTTAGGAAGAACCTAAAATTTTCATCTCAAACGAATGAATCATTATGAAGATATAGATGTTACAAGTATAGATATTTAGACACATTTGTAGTATGTTTCGAGCAATAGTTTTCAATTAACTTTGATTTTCTAAAAAACAACAAGAGTTAAAATAGAGACTTTTTTACCATAGATACTGTCGATCATATTCTATCATTTTATAGGATTGAAAGTGCCATATCAACTCATTTTTTGACTGATACCGTATGCCATCGGTGGAAGTTATCTTCCTTTTGACACACAAAATTTTTTGTACAAGGCCAAAAAGGTCAAATTTACCTTATGATTCTAACAATAGAAACTGGTGATTTATTCTCAAGTGTTCGATTTATGTGATTTAGATGATAACCTATGTCGAGAAACCTCTAAAGCCCAAATTTCGATTCGTTTGGACATAATTGCGAAAGATGATAAAATATGTACTTTGTCAAATCTTACTGGATGATATTCAATTCACCTAATATTTCAAACGTTTTTAGAAGAGAATGTTCCTCATTGGCAAATCACTTTTGAGTCAGAACTATGGGCATTATAACCCATGGACGATAGTATCTATGGTAAAAAAAGTCTCTATTATAACTCTTGTTGTTTTTTACAAAATCAAAATTAATTGAAAACTATTGCTCGAAACATACTACAAATGTGTCTAAATACCTATACTTGTAACATCGATATCTTCATAATGATTCATTCGTTTGAGATGAAAATTTTAGGTTCTTCCTAACTTTACTAGGCCTACTTACTTCGAAAATATCAGACAGATTAGCGAGATGGATTGAGCAAGGTTCTGCTTGAATTGATTTTGGCTTACGTACCATGTCTTTCAAATGGTTCCTTCAACCCATGTAATAAAATTAACTGGAAACTATCATAAAACGACTTCTGAATTAGCTAATCAGGCTGTACAATCAGTTCTACATATGTTTACATCTCCCTAGGGCCACAACTTCAAAGAAAGTTAATGTTTACAAGTATTGTGAAGGAAACCTAATAATTCGAGGGTGATTCCGTCACTACCCATGTGATAAAAACCGGATGAAAACCGGCGGTTAACTGCGGTTTTACCGGTCCGGTTACCGGCTCCCGTCACTAAGATTTACCGCAGTAAACCGCCGGTTTTTATGGATACCGCGGTTTACCGCTAAAATGAACCGGTTTACCGGATCGCCAATAAACTTTGACATTTCATTGCTTTAAATCGTCGATTTAGCTATTTTAAACGTTTTTTTTCTTTTATCTTCCCATGTCATAAAAATGCTCAGAAAAATCTCCGATTTACCGCGGTTTTACCGGTCCGGTTACCGGCTCCCATTACTGTAATTTACCGCGGTAAACCGCCGGTTTTGATAAATACCGCGGTTTACCGCTAAAAACTGCCCGGTATTTACGACATGGGTATACTTTTGACCAGCTGGAATGTTTATAAAAATAAGCAATCCATCAGTTGGATAGTGCACTGCTTTTTAGAATGAAAAACCTAGTGTTCGTGACTAAAAATGAATTAAAAGCAATTTCAGTGACGGAATCATCCTCACTAATGTATCACCTTTACAACTATAAATAACTTTCTGAGGAAGTGACGAAATGTGGCTCTTTTGTTATTATTGGGTAGAGGATCGAAAGCATTGTTAGTTCATGTGAGAGGTTTTGAAAAAGATATATTTATTTATATAAAAATTCCTCAAATAAGAAACCATAATAAACATTGGCTTTTCTCGCTTATAAAACACATCTCTTTTGTAGCGCAGTTTCCTCTAAGAAATGTCGTAATTATGTAAATAAAGAATATATTTCCACATGTTATCGACATCGCTCTACACAATGGCTATATTGGTTTCGAATAATTGAATAGTTCAACTTCGTCCACGAAGGTGTACTGTTACGTGGATAGGCCGGTTGTTTTAATAAAAGAGTAATTTTTTTACAAAAAACGATTTTTTAGCAACAAAGAATTCCTTGCGAAAACATCATTCTTTTTTATAAAAAGGATAAGTTTTTTTAAAAGAATGAATTTTTTTGTTAAAATATGTTTTTTTGGAAAAAAGTGGCTTTTTTCTTGAAAAACGTACTCGAAATTCCAAAAAACTGATTGTAGATTCGGATTCCTCGATCCCGACTCCCTTTGATCAAACTTTATTTAAAAAATCGATATTTTAGAAAGAAACCCTTTCTCTGGTGAAAAAAATGAGACTTAAAATTTTGAAAAACTGATTACAAATTCAGATTCCTTGACGTCAGTTATCTTTGATCAAACTTTAGAGAAAATTGCTATTTTTAAAAAAATACTTTTCCGTGATAAAAAAAATGAAACTCAAAATTTTGAGGAAAATGATTACAAATTGGGATTCCTCGACCCCAATTACCTGTGGTCTAACTTTGTAAAACTTGTAATTTTTAGGAAGCTGCCTTTTGGTTGATGAACCCGAAAGTTTCCGTTAGAGTAAAGGGAACACGTGTCACATTCCCGTTCCTTGTTCCTAGGAACAGGAATGCTGTGGCGTTCCATGTTCCCCGTTCCCAAGAACGGAGAACGCCAAACGCTCTAACTTAAAAATATGAGCAAACATGTTTACAATCCTCGCTATATTGGAACGAAACTACAACAGGCAATTTTGAGAGGTGTTCCCGTTCCTAGGAATGGAACGCTGACACTTCTAGTCGGTGTAGGGTGTGGTTGTGGGATAAGAATACATTCACACGCACCCTCACACCCACCATTTTCGCATTGCCTATAATTTTGAAATATACCTACTGAGTTGTCATAGGACATTGATTAGAAACAAAACAACTGTGTGATTCCTCGAATTTTTCAGTTTTCTTTCCTGCAAGATTGATTGCTTCTACTAATATAGAGCAAAAACTCACTTAGAAATAAAAATGTAAGGTTTGTGCTGATGATTGGTTTTCAGATGTAGCTTGATTTGTAAATTATTAAAACAAGTGAGTGTACACCAGAAACTTGATAATGACGATGTGCTTTCCGATATCTGCTAAAAGTCTGAAATAAAAATATCAAATATGGAGATTTGTATAAACACTCTTATATAGACAACAGTATCAAGAAAAGAAGCTTTTAGTGCAATTCCTGTTGGTTTAAAATATGAGACACGATGCAACTGTAGTTACATCACACAAATATTTTTTTCTTCGATATACCTTGGAAGTCAGCTGTCATTTTCCCCTTATCTGTCATAAATGTAATTGGACAATAATTAATATATACTTATGAAATTCCAGAAATATGACATCGTAAATCGTGTATCAAAAGCCCGATACATCTCACCGGGGTACAAATTTTCTCTGTCGAGTCGTCTGAAAGCGTGCAAATTTTTAATCATAAACAGTTAAATACCTATTTCAGGTTGTGCTTCAAAATAACACTTCTCAATCCTCTGAAGCACTTTTGGTTATGCAAAACGAGAATTGAGTAGAATTGTATGCGTTGG